TGATGGATTATCAGTAGGAGGACCTACATCAGGAGAACAATTGTCATCTGAGACCATATTATCATCAGTCTCAACAGTCATAAGACCTAGTGGTACACCATTTTCAAGTAATGAATTTAACGCTTCTTCATTAATTGTTAACTCAGAATAATGTGGGTTATTATTGATAAGCCAAACTAAGGCATTGTGCACTTTTTGCTTTCGCACTGTCACATCTCTGAATGTGTTACCTTTACCTTTTACTTTGACAATAATCACAGTTAAGTCTTTGGGGTACCTTGGCAAAGACATTGCAAGTACTCTGACATTTTGGGGCAAGTTAATACTATGCTCTGATTAACCTCGTTGGCCGCCAGGTTTAATATAAACTCTCATGATAGGCAAAGCACTAGCAATTAACATTTCCTCAATCTGAGTTCAATTCTGCAATTCATTTGAAACAGATGAAGATATCATTGAATTTTCACAAGAGAACTTTTTAGGAGATTTTTTATCTCTAAAGCATCGTGAACTCATGTAAGGTGTCCTTGGTTTAGATTTCAAGGGCCATGCCTCCTGACATACTGTGCACTGACTGATAATGTATTGCACAGACTTATTAAACTTAATTATTAATGTTAGCCTTAGCCCAATATTGCTCTTCAATACCACCATTATTGGTGTTGTCAAACATATTTAAATAATCCTGTTGATTTAATATTTCATGTTGAGGCTGTGAAACTTTTTTTGCCCGCTTTTTTTATTAAGTCCATCTTTCTCAAGCCTAATTTGTCTGTTGGTGTCAGTTTCCTCTGACCGCTTTCTTTTTTTAAACTCGCTATCCTTTTGAAGTCTAATTTGTTGTTTGTTGTAAGTTTCCTCTGAGCGTTTCAGTTTACTTGACTCACTTAATTTTTGAAGCCTGTCAGTTTCCTCTGACTGCTTTCTTTTTTTTATTTTCACTAGCTTGTTGAAGTCTGATTTGCCTCTCTTTGTCAGTTTCTTTTGACTGCTTTCTTTCATTGTACTCACTAGGTTTCTTAAGTCTAGCTCTACGAAAAGCCTCTTTTTTTTTACATACTCTCGATCCTTTACAGACTTACTTTTTTGCTCAGAAGCTTTACATATATTTAATTGCACAGGTACAATTTCAAATAAATTGGCATGTAATGTCATTGAAAGAGAATACAAATATTGTTCTAATTCTAGAATATTAGCAAATTTCATGACAACAGCAGTACCATTAGGATCAGACATGCCATAGAGTCTCTAGCATTAGAGTCAAATAAATAGAAAAAATCTGTTTGCTTTATCAATGCCATCATATAGCCTTCTAATATCAAAATAGTATAACTACAATTTGAAAACACATTCAAAAGTGCTGTGTGAATGTCATAGTAGTGTGACTCAAATTCTCGGTTGGTTATAACAAGACCTTGAAGCTTTTTTCCATAATTTATAAACCAAATTTGGTTTTCATTGTTTGCCTCATTAGGCACCACAGAATTGTGCTCTACCCCAATGGATAAATCAGTGTTACTTTTTGCGACAATGGGCAGATCAGTGATACTTTTCGCCTCTGTGGGCTCTACCACAATGGGAAGTTTGCTTTTGTTTTGTGCCTCAATGGGCTTGACCGCAAACAATGGGCAGATCAATATTTTTTGCCGCAATGGGCTCTACCACAATGGGCAGATTGATAGTTTTTGCCTCAATGGGCTCTTCCACAATTGGTAGACTGTTATTATTTTTTCGTACCACCATGGGTAGACTGTTATTGTTTTGTCCTACCACCACGGGTGGACTGTTATTGTTTTGTCCCACCACCACGGGTGGACTGTTATTATTTTTTCGTACCACCATGGGTAGACTGTTATTATTTTGTCGTAACACCACGGGTAGACTGTTATTATTTTTCGTACCACCATGGGTAGACTGTTATTGTTTTGTCGTACCACCACGGGTAGACTGTTATTATTTTGTCGTACCACCACGGGTAGACTGTTATTATTTTGTCCTACCACCACGGGTAGACTGTTATTGTTTTGTCCCACCACCACGGGTGGACTGTTATTATTTTTTCGTACCACCATGGGTAGACTGTTATTATTTTGTCGTAACACCACGGGTAGACTGTTATTATTTTTCGTACCACCATGGGTAGACTGTTATTGTTTTGTCGTACCACCACGGGTAGACTGTTATTATTTTGTCCTACCACCACGGGTAGACTGTTATTGTTTTGTCCCACCACCACGGGTAGACTGTTATTATTTTTTCGTACCACCATGGGTAGACTGTTATTGTTTTGTCGTAACACCACGGGTAGACTGTTATTATTTTTTCGTACCACCATGGGTAGACTGTTATTGTTTTGTCGTACCATCACGGGTAGACTGTTATTATTTTGTCGTACCACCACGGGTAGACTGTTATTAATTTGTCCTACCACCACGGGTAGACTGTTATTGTTTTGTCCCACCACCACGGGTAGACTGTTATTATTTTTTCGTACCACCATGGGTAGACTGTTATTATTTTGTCGTACCACCACGGGTAGACTGTTATTATTTTTTCGTACCACCATGGGTAGACTGTTATGACTTTGTCCTACCACCACGAGTAGACTGTTATTGTTTTGTCCCACTATCACGGGTGGACTGTTATTCTTCTCTCCATCGGTAATTCAACGTTTTTGTGCATCAAAGGGATCCACAGTTGAATGGTGTTGTTGTTGTTTTCGCATGCACTTCAGGTGGTATATTACTTGTGTGGATCACAGAATTATCGCATATCTCGTAAGAAAACATGTTCGTACAACTTGAAACACTGACAACTTTAGGCAAGTTATCTACAGATAAGAATTCGACACCAGGTTCTAAGACAACAAAGCCGTTATCCAGAGCTTGCAAGTACATTTTCTCTCCTTGTAATAAGACATTATTCAATGTTGTTTTTGACCAATCGATCAGTGGGATATTTTGGGCAGTTAAGTGGCAGTCCCACTAAGAGCGGTCCGGTGATTTCGACTTTGGAAAATAGATTTCCTTCAATTTTTGTGTGTTGAAAGGCATTGATATACAAGTGTACAAAATAAATTTATTCAGTATTTGAAAATTATTTTTTACGCCGAAACTAAGGTTGAATTTCAGTAAATTTTAGAGTCGCGCTGAGTCAAAACGCCTGACTGTTTCCAAGTTTCAACTAGGTCAGCAAGTTAAGATATAATTCACGTTCTCTATGACAAAAAATAAGAGGATTTAAATAAATCGTGAATAAACGACAGCAACATGACGGCACACAAGTTTTTGCTTCTTGTTCGGTCTACAAAATTGCACGAAAATCGAAGGCTAAGATCTCCTAAATGGGACCTAAAAATACGCTGAAAACTATTTGGATGTAATGATTTATACTTATTTTCACAGGATCTGAAGAAAAACTTGCGGGTATCAATCTGTAATTGGCGCGAGCAAAGATTTTCTAGAGCCCATGTTCAATGATTTTTGCATAATTTATAGCTAATTAACATCTTTCTTGAGAGGCGCTAAAAGTAAACATTTCTTTCTGACTATACATTTTTTAGATGAAAGAAACTACCACAGTTAGTGAAACTCTTTTGTAAATATAGTCGTAGGCTAATATTCTTTTCTTGACACGCTTAAAGAGCTTTGTTTTTTAATGTTATACCACATTCATTCAGTCTGACCACATTTATAAATATGAAAATATCACGCACTTGTCTATTTCGGCAAATATTCGATATGATATGTTCTTTTTTACATATCGACTAACTCATCTGTATTTAATAACCAATTACACTTGAAGTACTAGATATTCAACTTGTATAAGTTTTTGACACACCTGCAGGTAGCAATAACGTTATATATGCCAATGAAAGGCGGTGAATCGCAACGTATTAGCCAATCGTGTCACCTGACCTGACTTCGATATAGAGTCAGTGGCTGTCAAACTTTAAAACAAACGCGTGATCTAGAGACAGGTGACATGTATATGTATATAAACAAACCACGGCAAAATGTCTTGCTTCGTGCTTTTCAAGAATGAAGCTGGATGTGGGGAATTTATGGGTCAAAATAACCTGGAACGTCTTATAGTAACCGCAATCAAGATGTCTCAGCTCATCTGAAGCGGTATCATTTGTCCAAAGAAAGTCTTTCAGAGTGCGATTTGATTTTGCTGCGGGTTGAGTTTCTGAATGTGCATGGCAATTTCACAACTGGAAAATATACTTGTGTACTCGAGACATTGAGGCAATCTTGGAGTTTAATATAAACAACATCTTCCAGGTTATTGATTTATATTGTGCTCATTGGATCACGTGAGTATATTTCTGGCGCGGACCATTAGAACAGCGATGGGGGGGGGGGGGGGATTT